CCTAAAGAGCTCCATCGAGAACAACAGGGCAAAAAAAGACTAGACGAGTGAGTTGGACACTGGGTTTGTTCCATGATCACGCGTTTGCTCATCTCTCTCTCTCTCTCTCGCTCTCTCTCACACACAAGCTGAGAGTATATATATGTATATAGCTGATATATAACTATATATTCCTCAGGTGTGTCTCTCTCACTCTCTCCTGCTGTCTTTCTCTCTTTCTTCTGAATTTTTTGAGCCAAATGGACGACAATCAGCATCTTGAGGCCGAAACAATCACACCGATAGCACAAAGAAAATTGACGCAGACAGACAGACGGAGGGAGAGAGAGAGACGTCTTTATTCACTCTCATTCTCTTCCCATCATCCCCTGCCTCTCTTTCTCTCTCTCTCTTTACTGCAGGAGTGTGTGTGTGTGTGTGTGTGTGTGTGGTTTTGATCAGCTGCAGCCTCAACTTCCTAATAATGACTCAATAACAAATCTTTTTCAAATGATGTTTTGAGGGGCTTGATACTTTCTGAGCCAATCAGACTTTAGTGCTGGTGTGTGTTTGTGCCAAACGCCCGGATGACGAGGTTCGCTCATTTAGACGCAGCCGCCCACTAAAGCTCTCTTCAGACCCTAGTGAGTCGCCGTTCCAGCGTTTCACACATCCCACAATGCAGTGAGATGGAGCGGAGAGTCTAAATGTTTCGATTGAAATTGTGACAGAAATATATTACTATTGTAGAATAGTACTTAATTAAGCACTTAATAATTATTACAACTTAATTTTTTAAGGTAGTATTTTAATTTTCTGTTTGCAGCACTTTGTTTACCAAAATAAATAAAAGGAATTGTTAATTTTCATTTGATTACTTTTTAAAAGATTAATTACATTTCAGCGTTTTTTATAGTAAATTTGTATTCAATCATAAACACAGAATTACGGGACAAAAATAAAACATTTCGTAAGGCCCTATTGTTAAAGTTGTATAAATTCAATTGATTAGACTTTTTTTGATTATTAAAATTTAATTAAATCTTTAAGTATTTGGAATCCAAAAAAAATGAAAACAGAAACACAAAAATGTGGAAATAATTTAAGAAAAAATTTCATGATTCATAGGGCCCTAAAATTTTATTTTTTTAAACCTTTAATAAATTGTTGTTAAATTGTATAAGTTTCTTGATTTCAATTAATTAGACATGGTCTAAGGCCCTTTCTATTGTTAAAATTAATTACATTGGTTAAGTTTTATGATTCAGATTATTAGACTTGATTTTTAA